AGCATTCAGCTGTTTGAAATTATGCGTGGAATTGCGTATATTGTCTTTCATATTGTGTCAGGGCTAGCCAGTCCGTCTAAGTAACTGTTGAAAGGCGATTAATAATTTACTATGCAACGGACCACTTCTAATAAGATGGTAACGTTACTAAGCTACGGTAAACTTGCAAGCAAAGGTAAGAAACTTGCATAAAAAGTAGGGTTCTGTTTTATAAATGTTGAGTTTCTAATCTATGAAAGCCTTAGTTATGTTTCTATCAAGTAAATTTAATTACGAAAAAGTAGACTACCAATTATTTACCATGGCAGCAAGAGTTGGTATTACGTTAACGTAACATACTTGATTAGATTGAACTTGAAGTTAATTACTTTCATGAGTAGACAGAGATTGTGGAGTTACTATTTACTTGAACGTTTGTAACGGAAATGTAAACTGTCATTCAAAGGAAAGGGCCATAATAATTTAATTGTGACAGGGATACAACCAAGACTTAACTGTGGGAAAGAAATTATAAGTAAGTCACTAGGACTGAATGTTAGGCTTAGGTTAATACGTAAGGACGAGCAGGTTGGTGGGATGGATTTCTGATATTAATGTTATCAGTTCAAAGAGAAAATGAAACTTTTTGGAGCGGATGGCTTAAATTTAAATAGGGTAGGAGCTGGCTTGTTTGCAAGGGCTATTAAGTCAACTGTAAAGTCAGCTAGACAGTGGTGAGGCCCAGAAAGAAAGAAGAAGAAAAATATGTAGAGAAATGTATAGTTTTAGACAAACTACAAAATTAGTTTTAATGGTTCGCTAAACTGTTATTGTAAAATGTAATTATAGATGTATGTGAAAGACTGTTCGGTGAATAAATAGCAGATGGTTTTTAATTATAATAAATGCAAGTTAATGCATGTTGGATACCGCAGTTTGAGTTATTAGTATGATTTTGATGGGAATAAACTTTGACAATGTTATTGGTGGAAACGACCTTTGTGTTCTGGTTGGTCAGTTTTTTTAAGCCATCCAAGCAATGTGCTGTTGCTAATGCAAGGCATATATAGAATTTTAGGTTGTATATAAAGAAATCTTGAATACAAGTCTAAAGAGGTCATAATATCATTGATTAAGCTCTTCCTAGGAAAAGAAAAACAAAGGCGAATTTCCATGATATCACCCCTTCAAAACAAAATAATTTTATCCAGGTTGAACCTCTGCCTGCGAAATCATAGACCAGTGAATGGTTCACCCAGGGGTGTTAACGAGATCAGAATCAGAGTGAATGAGTATTATCAATTATACAACGAATTCAATAGCAAAAAATTAATTAGTTTTTATTATTTATTCTAGTTGTAGTTTGATATATATACATATATTTTATGTTGTAATGATTGCAGTTGTAGTTTGATGCATATTTAAGTCATAATAAAGAATTTTACATTTTAATTTTATACCTTTTTTTTTCTTTTTTTCGAACTGGGATGAGTGAGCTGTTGTGAAAAACTTATAGGGGTGAATGATACTGGAAATGACTGAGCTAGATTGTTACTAAACGTAATCGTGTAAGAAAAAAAATGTTCTTATCTTTTCATACCTGACTTGATTGTTTATCAACTCCGCCTGTCGTCGAATTTCGCTGTTTGCTTTTGTTGTGTATCAACGCCGCCTGCCGCCGAACTTAGCAGTTTTCTTTTGCTGTATCGGTTCCGTCTGTCGCCAAGTTTCGCTGTATATCGGTTCTTTCTGTCGCCAGGTCTCGTTTTGTTTTACAGTTATCAACATATTACCTACCGCAGAGTTAATATGTTTTAAAATATATACTGGTAAAAGTGTTTGGATAAAAGATAATGAAGAATAAGTTTCCATATCTAATTGAAAACTTTTTTTAGTTTTATTTTGTGCGACGTTTCGAGCAGACGACCTTCATAAGGTGTAAAGACCGTGTTACTGTGACAACGGTAGTTGTTTACCTTTGATGTCCAAATAAGGGAGTTCTGAATTCACGTTTTAGACACTAATATTAAAAACGATTGTAAATGGTTTGAAGTCGACTGTTATAACAAAAATGCTTTTACCGGTTTATAATATTAATTTTGAAGCTTTAAAAAGTACTGTTTTGCTTTGCTTGTACCAGTAGCGTCTATCGGCGAGTTTCGCTGTTTTGTTTTACTTGTACCAGTATACCGTCTATCGCCTAGCCATTTTTGTATTTTTCCCCCTTGTCACACTGTAGCAAGTTATTTCTGTTTTCGGACGTCATGCAGTGGGGGAAAGACTATCTTATCACTATATGCTACCGAGGAAGAAAGAAAGCTTCTAATAACGAGCTAATATAAATATTTTTCTTATACAAATAAGTTACTTCATAATATACAAAAGCTGTGTTTAAAAACATAATACTAAAAATTTTGTTTTTTCTGAAAATACTCGAACGCGTACTCAGATTGACGTGCCTGCCTCCCATATGTTCTGCGGTAAAGCTTCCCGTCAGGTGATTGTTGGTTGGATCAAACAGTTTGGAATGTTTCTGTTTTGTCTCAGTTGGCAGTCACAGATGTCGTCTGTTTCGGCTTCACGTGACTCCGTTGTTCTTTCACTTAACAGACGTACCTAAACATTATTTAAGTAAAACTGGTTATGATGCACAAAGTAAGGTTTTTTACCATTATTTTAATTACTTTTTATTTAAAAAACCGGAAACCAAATAACGAATTGATCAAACTTTGTACGTTATATTGTGATCAGTATCTCTTTAATTATTTTTTTTTTGTCGACAGATGGTGCTGGGGACGACACGAATACAGAGGTTGAGTACATAATATAAATGCTTAGTACGAAATATTTGTAAAGAAATTAAATTATATTTAATGAGCCTCAACTAATTTATTTGGAGTATATATAATTAATATAAAGGTTGGATTTTGTTTTTATACGTTTTGAAAAGTTGTATTTTAATGTTTTTATTATAGATTGTTTGTAAAGTTATTTCCTGAAGAGTGACTTTTGAAGTCACGAAACCAGTAGAAAATAAAAAATGGATGCGTTCAAGTATATTATAGTATTGATTATGTGTGTGTGTGTGTGTGTGTGTGTTAGAATCAGAAAATATACTGCTGTTAAAGGTGGAACAGATGTTTCCTTACATGATTTGAATCAAGTGTACTGAACAGAGGGCGCTTTAACAGTTTTTATTTTTTAATTCATAATATTTTCACTTCTCTAAAGTTGAATAACCTGAATCTAGTACTTAAGTATTACTACTGCTTTGAGCGCTGTTTGAATCTGCTGTAATTAACATCTTCAAAATACTTTTCTCAAAAATCAATATTGTGCTAGTATCTTAGTGTCGTAATTAATAACAAAATCGATATTGTGCTAGTATCTTAGTGTCGTAATTAATAACAAAATCAATATTGTGCTAATATCTTAGTGTCGTGATTAATAACAAAATCGATATTGTGCTAATATTTTAGTGTCGTGAATAATAACAAAATCTATTGTGCTAATATTTTAGTGTCGTGATTAATAACAAAATCTGTGTTGTGCTAATATTTTAGTGTCGTGAATAATAACAAAATCTATTGTGCTAATATTTTAGTGTCGTAATTAATAACAAAATCTATTGTGCTAATATT